GAGGTCAGGCTAAAACTCAGGGGGAGGGCTACAGTTCAAAAAGTAACGACCCCCACTACTAACTAAGGACATTGCGTGACCCTAAGGTTCCCAATCAGGATTCGATGACTCGAAAGAATTCTCTGACAACTCCTCGGAGGCGTCCTCATTAGACTCTGACTCCTCCGAATCCATCGCCTAGGCTCGCCCATCCTCGAAGTCCGGCTCCAACTCCAGGTCAAGGTAAAGCTCGAACCCCTCCTCATCTGATCCCAGCTCTGCCACCTCTCCGTCCTCCTCTACGTCCTGCTCCATGGCCTCGGGTTCATCCTCCTCCTCATCCATCGGCTCGGGGTCCTCCGTTAGTACATCAGGCTCTTCATTCACCTCCTCCTCCTGCATCATCCACTCGGGTGAAACCTTAGGGTCGATCACCTCACCATCAGTTATAATTGGCTGCATCAACCCAACATCATCGACCGGGATATCAAAGGTCCTGAGGGGTTCTCCCACATTTCCATCGGCATCCCGGTGGCACCATGCCACGTACTCCTGCTTCTGGTAAAAATACTCGCCTATCTCCACATATACTACTGATCGATACCTCACGAAAGCCTCCCCATTACCTGAGGGGTAGGTACTGGTATACTGCCGAATCTGTACAGGGATCCCAAAGAGAGTCAGTGGTCTCTCCATCCTCACGGTTGGGGGTCTGAAAAGTTTCGATTTACGCAACCGTGAGACGAATCTCAATGAGTTCAACTCCTAAACCTAGGCTAGGCTAGCATGCAATCTCCTGACCGGAAACAAATATTTAAATCACAATACAACAATAATCAAACCATTCTCTAACCCTACAGGTTAGACAGATCAACATATAATAGTCACGGCACATACGTGGTACACATTATCACACGTACGCTAATCGCATGCTCATGCACCGAGTCTCACACACTCGCATGCCAGTCCATGCATGTTCATGCATGCAAATGTCGTTGACAGGTCACGTGCATTTCCCGGCCCACCGGCCCACACTGGCACACTGGCAATCGCCCAATTTATTATTTATTACGACTTGAGTCAACAATATTCACGGCCCGGTGCGTCTAGCCTGCTTCAAAGTGCATGAGGCGCAGCAACCGATCTGGCCCAGTGTCTCTAGCCTGCTTCAAAGTGCATGAGGCGCAACACTGATCTCCTTACGAACCAGAGCCTGCTTCAAAGTGCATGAGGATGGTCGTCTTCCGGACGTACCGGGCATCATCCTGCTTCAAAGTGCATGAGGACGGTATCGATCCGAAGGTCATGACCCGAAGGCCCTTAGGTGATCACACAATCCATTATTATCTAAACTCCGCGTAAAACGCTTCAGGGTATTTTAGGTGATCACATGCTCATGACAGGCACGTAGTCTCACACAATTTCATCACAAGCCTCATTCTCGGCATTCATAATGCGTGCCATGAAATGCAACATGAGCATCCACATAACATATGCACAGGCACACAGTTCAATCAAAGTCATTTCACAGTGCCTAATTCACAATCCACGTGCTTACTTGGCCTATTAATATCGTGCGGCCCAATTCCAAATACACAATTCAAGCCATCAATTGGCCAATCACACTCCGCACGATTCAGCCACACAAGCACGCAACATGGCATTTAACAATTAAACACAATTGATCACCAATCAATCAACAGCCAATCATTTTGGGTAATCCCGGCCATTCAGCTAATAACTCTTGCTATCCAATATAATTCGGTACATTCCTCGAAAATATGGACAGCCGCAATTTCCTCAATCCGAGCCCAATAATTATCTATAATAATCCCACTAAATTCGTCGGATTTTATTTCCACCAATCAGTCCTCAATCGAGTCTGAATTATACACCGATAATACCTAAACCAGTCCAGAAAAATGCACTATCAGTCCTAATCCGGGTTTAGGAATTTTACTCACTTAATCCAAGGTCACAACGACGGGGAACGGCAGCCGATCACTAGTGAACAGTGAAGCCGGCGGCGGAATTCCCGGCGACGGCGTGAACAGTGACCGTACGGACGCGGTGAACAGTACCGACCGTACGGACACTGTACGGGTCGGCGTCGTACGGCGTGGCTGGATGGCTGGGTGGCGACGGAACGGCGATCCGAGCTCCGGCGCGGCGGCGGCGAGGCTCCGACGCGGCGGCGGTGCTAACCCGGGAGAGAAAAAGAGAGAAAAAGAGAGAAAAAGAGAGGGAAAGAGAGAGAGAGAAAGGGATCGGACGGAGGCGAGGCTCAAGCTGGGGTCTGTGGTGGTCGACGGCGGAGCACGGCGGCGGCGTTCCAGTGACCGACGGCTTGCTCCGGCAAGGCCAAACAAGAGAGAAAATGAGAGAAAAAAGGGAAGGAGGGGCTGTTCTGGGGTGGTTCAGCCGAATGAGAGGGAGAGGAGAGAGAAACTAATCTGATCTTGGTCAAAAATACCAGTCCAAAGCGCCACGTGTTGCCGATCCGGGCCGTTTGACCAAAATACCCCTAATCCGACGGCCGACGTTCGTTCTAGCCCAATAATTGATGGGCAAAATGGTCATTAGGTCCAATAATACAGCTGATAATCCATATTTAATTACCCCAAAAATTTTTCCAAAATTCGGAACTGAAAACGGCCCAGGGGCAAAACCGTCATTTTTCCGGTCCCGGGGCAAAGTTCCATTTTTCACCCGTATCAACCCTCTATGTGTGTGGCCAACATAATATTGCGTCGGAATCGCGAAATTCATCGCGCAAGCCCTCGAAAATCGACCGCAAAGTTTCGGGAATAAAATAATATTATTTTTCTAATTTCTGTCGAAATTCCAATTTTTGGCCATAACGACTCCTGGTATGCGTGGCCACCCAAAAATGGTGTCGGCCTCGAAAAATAACCTCATTTGGCCTCGAAAAGCAACGCTGGCGTTCCGAGGGGCAAAATCGTAATTTTTCACCCCCGGACCGAAATTCCAATTTTTACTCATACTAACTCCAAACGTGTATGGCCAGCGTGATATGACGTCAGATTCCCAAAAATAGTCTCTTAAGCCTTTGAAAATCGGTATCGAAATCCGGGCCCAATTCCGTGAACAAAACTCGCTAAACTTTCAATTTCAAGGTCTCTCACTAACGGGCGGCTGTTTAGAGGTCATGCGTATCGACCTAGGGTTATCCGAGTCATAACGGTCCGATCATTGAGAGAGTGAGAAATTATCACTAGTCCCAGAGGTCACGACCGTTCGAATTAAGTTCAGGACTAGTTGGCCACGTGCACTCTCGGTCGTGCAGAATCACCTGCGATCCGATTGTACATCGTTGGCCTTGGCCAAACCAAATTCATCACCCTTTCCTACCATCGGCCCACGTTGGCCCAAAATATTCCCTCAGCGTCTCTCGTGATCGGTGTCCGTTTCACGATAGGGTCCCCGGTCCACGTACCATTTTCTAGTTAGCCATACCCTATTGGTTAGTATCTCGAGAGTGATCAGCTCCGGGCGAGACTTACTAAAATGAAATGCGAATTAATATCAGTTTTATTGATCCCGGAATTACATCGAAATTCGGGCTGGTACAGTAACCATTTATCTTCCCTTTTCTTTTGTATGTTTTTCGATTCCGCCTTTTTGAGTTTTGACAGAATTAGATCTGTTAAACGGATGAGTCGGGTCGGATTTGAGTTTGGTTATAAATAGTCCGACCTAACTTGACCCATTTAACCCATTTATGACCCATTTATCACAAGACAAAAATCTTGACCCATACCCAACCCGACCCATTTAACTAAATTTAGGGAAGCTTATTTCTGATAATTATTTTTAAAAAAATTGTATTGCTAAAATATCTTCATGCAATACAAATCTTTTAAAAAAAATTGAGACTCCGTTTGTTTCGCGGAAAATATAACATTTCTGAAAAATATTTTTAGGAAATTGACAATATTTTCCAATATTTGGCTAAAACGTGGAAATGAACAATTTTTATGAAGGAAACAGGAAGTTGGATTCCCCATTTTCGCTAATTTGCGACGAAATTTTACGACGAAAATAATTTATCGCTAATTTATGACGGAATTTGCTATGAAAAATAATTCGTCACTAATTTGCGAAGGAATTTGCGACGAAAATAATTCGTTGTGGCACATTCGTCGCTAATTAGCGACAAACCGTATTCGTCGCTAAATTTTTTATTTGCTGAATTTTTAATATAATATGTTTTTTTTTTTGGTAACCCGGGAACCCCCACACGGCCGACAGCCGGGGAGGTAAACCCGGGGTGACGCTAGCGCAGGACCCACCACCACGACGCCACGCTTAAGAATCCCTAACACTAGCGCTGGGATTCGAACTCCTACCCTTCGTGGGGGGAGGGGAGCCCGAAGCCAGCGCAGCCGCTGAGTGCGGTGGTAATATATAATATGTTTGTCACTAATTTTTTCGCTAATTAGCGATGAACACTATTCGTTACTAATTAGCGACGAACATTATTCATCATTAAATCCGTCGCTAATTTACTAATTCAGCAAATTAAAAATTTTGCGATGAACTTTAGGTTCGTCACTAATTTACTAATTCAGCAAATAAAAAATTTTGTGATGAACATAAAGTTCGTCGCAAAATTAGCGACGAACTTAAGATTCGTTGCTAATTTACTAATTTCACAAATAAAAAATTTAGCGACGAAAAATAATTCGTCGCTAATTTGCGACGGAAATAACTTTTGTGGCACATTCATCGCAAAATTCGTCGCTAATTAGTGACGAACCGTATTCGTCGCTAAATTTTTTATTTACTGAATTTTTAATATAATATGTTCGTTGCTAATTAGCGACGGACACTATTTGTCGCTAATTCACTAATTCCGCAAATAAAAATTTTTGCGACGAACTTAATTGAAAATTAGCGATGAAAGTAAATTTGTCGCTAATTTGCGACGAAAATAGCGACGAAAAAGAGTTCGTCGCTAATAAAAATTCATCGCCAAATTTTGGGATTAACCTTTTGCGATGAACATGAAGTTTGTCGTAAAAATTTTTATTTACTGAATTTTTAATATAATAAATCGTCGCTAATTACCATCGTTGTTAATTTCGTCGTAAAATTATACTACATAAAAAAAGAGTGAGCCATGGAAAATTAGCGACGAACAAAAATGTTCGTCGCTAATTTTCCCTCACCCGCCCTCACCCGTCCTCACCCGCATGTTCTCTCTCTCTCTCTCTCTGCTGATTCCACACCACCCTGTTGACTCTCCTTCTCTCTGTCTCTCTCTCCCCGGAAACAATGGCGTCTTAGCTCCCTCCTTCTCTGTCTACAGTCCAGCAACTCTGTCTCTCTCTCTTCTCGTGTAAGGGGCTCTCGACTCCCCCTTGGGTTCTTCTTGAAGCGCCGCATCGTCCTCGCGTTCGAAGCGCCTTGGCTTCCGTGCGGCGTTTGCCGGGGAGGTGGCGGCATGGTGGACTCGGGGCTCTCCGGTTCGAACGAAACCAGCTACAGCAGCGGCGTGTGCTCCACGCCGACCGGCACGGAGGCTCCCTCCTCATACGCGACGCCGCCGGATACGGAAGCCCTGAGGAGGCTCTACGACAGCCTCGAATCGATCTTCGAGCGCCCGCGCGCCGGCCCCGGCTCGTCCTTCTCCGACGCCGCGATCGTCGCCGGCGACGGCCGCGAGGTCCCTGTCCACCGGTGCGTCCTCGCCGCGCGGAGCCCGTTCTTCGGGGCCGCGTTCGCGGGGAACGAGAGCGGAGCGAGGCTCGAATTGGCGGAGGTGTTCGGCGTGAGTTCTTTCTTGGGTGTTCTTCCTTTTTTTTTTTTCTGGGGAAAAGGAAGAAACTGGAGAGGTGCACGCCGGTGAGGAAGCCTCACACTTCGACTTCAGATCTGCTCACGTGGTCGGAGACTCCGCCTCCCCACGATTCGGTGGCGCCCGGTTCGGCTTCCTCTCTCTCCAATTCTCGCTCTCACCAGGTGCGGCGTTCGGTCGATTCATTCTTGATCTTTCGTTTTCGTTTCTGTTTGATGCGATGAGTGTGCTTCTGCTTTATTTTTTTCATGTGAAGTACTGATGATTTCCTGCTCATAGAATGAGTTTAATTTGCAAATGACATGGGAGGAGGTTCATTTGATGTGCGATCAATCTCTCATTTGCACTCTTTCGTGAGACATATCTATTTGTTAATTTTCATTTGAACTCAATTTGAGACTGAAGTGGCAAATTCCTTCTGCCTGCTTGTTGAACTGTTCTTTTTGTTTTTTTCCCCTTTGGCACTCTGCCATTAGTTTCATTTCTGACTTCTACTGAATTTCTTACTCTTGTTAAACTGATGGCTCCATCACGGTTGCTAATTTTGTAGGTGTTGTGAGACGAGAGTAAGTGCTGTTGCAGTAAGCAATGATGGCCTATTTGTGTGTTTTGCTGATAAGCTTGGAGTTGTTTGGGTTGTGAGTTTAAAGGAGGATGCTGAAAATCAGGCTTTGCCTGATTAAAAAGCAGCACCAATGCTGGCTCACTATTGCAGCATCATCGCTAGCTTGGTAAGTTGGTTTCTTTTTCAAGGTGTCCCTTTTATCCCCTTCTCTGTGTCCAACATACCCAGATAAAGTTTAAACTGTTGTTAATTTTTTGAAAGAGAACTCAAATGTTAAATTCTTTTATTGATTTTGGTAATGCTTAAATATTTGCTAATTTTTGGCGTGACTGTCCATCCTTGACGTCATGATGACCTGTATGCTTTTGAATGCTTCGTCGTTGTGTTATTAAGTGAAGGATCTGTTGCAGGAATTTTCTCCAGATGGACGGTTCATTGTCAGTGCTGATCGGGATTATAAAATTCGTGTAAGGCTATTTACTTGTCTATCAGTTAAACTTCTAGGTTGTTCTTATACCAATCTTGTATCATTTTGTAATTGCAACAGGTTACTGTGGTTCCCAAGAATCCATTGGATGGGGCTCACGAGATACAAACTTTTTGCTTGGGTCATTCTGAGTAAGTGTCTATGCGTTGAAGTTCGAGGCCAGGTGTTTTGAATAGAAATTTTGAAAAGATTTTGGCTTTTTATGTGCCCTTGACACGATTAAACATCGAATCATGTATGCTGTTTCGAAGATTTTATTGGCAGATTAAGTGGGGTACTAAGTCGCTTTATTTCTGACGTTGATGACAGATATGTATCCTGCCTTGACTTCATTCGTTCCCCAGATTATCCACATGGGCTTCTTGTTTCAGGAAGCGGTGATTCCACTGTGAGTGATTGCGGCTGAGAAGTTTCCCCGGTTTACATGGAGTCTAGTTTTGCCTAAGTACTCAGTGCATCTTTCCTCTGTAGGTTCGCCTTTGGGATGTGACATTGGGTTCTCTCTTGGATACTTGTGAAATTGGAGCTAAGGTATTGGTTCCTCACTTCTTTGAATGTTAAGATGGTATCACTGACTTGAATGCGTCTAAGATTTTTGTCAGACTTATAATGCTTCAAAGATTCTATTATAGTACCTACTTCCACAGAACCGTATTCAGGTTAACTTATGTCTCAGTTAACCAGTAAATGTGCTTGCACTTTCACAATAGAGCAAAAAGACTAAGAATGCTTAGGTGTGGTTCAAACTAGCTGCTGTTTCTTTCATTATAATTTTGTTCTGTTTGGTTCTTCACCCAGTTTGACAGAAGGATTTACTTTCTTCCTGAAGGCAGAACTTTCAGCTACTGATGGAATAGAAGAAGAGCCCTGTCATGCTGTCACTGATCTTTGCACTTGTCCAAATGGTACATCCATAGCATTGGCAGTTCAGAGGCAAGTTCCAGAATACTCGTAACTCTTTAGGCTTGAACCTGGAAGATTTCCTGATTCATTTTCTTGATTCTGATACTTCATGTGTGGTTTTTGTAGCTTGAAAGGTGTAATGCTTTTGAACTGTGATCTTTCTGCTAAAACTCTTTCTATAGCCAAGGTAAGCATATCCCTAGTACTCTCCCTGTTTTGTATTTTCGAATAGCCTGCAAATACATGCAATGCATGGGTCAATTTTCTTGCGACATGTCTATGCATTAAGGGATCGATCTGGGGAAAGAAGAATTCTAATTACGCTCATTCCCTCAACCCATTGTAGCCAGACCTTTGAATAGATGACTGTCTGACAATGTTTATATGAATTATTCAATCTTGTATCGAGTTTAAGGTGGATCGCACGTGTTTTGTTATTATGAGTAGGTTGTAGATTGTAATCTATTGTTGCTACTTCTGGACCCTTTTTATATGGTTAAATGCATACATAACGCAGTGTCGGTCCCTTGACTGCTGATTTTTTCAGGTGATACTCATTGAAGGAGAGACCTTAATACCGACAAGCTTGGGGACAAGCTTATCCGAGGGACTTCTGTGGATGGTCACGGTATCTCTAAGTTGCGTGGTTTCAACCAATCCTCTTTGGCTCGAGTGAGGGCCGTGTCTGCTTTTGAGGACAGATGTACAGCGGAGGGAACATAATCCTCTTGAGAGGATTATGTTCAAGTACATTGAGCTATGTGTTGATACGCGGAGGGGGAGATTTGCCAAGGATGTTCAAGTACATTGAGCTATATGTTCAAGTACATGGAAAATGTAGATGAATGTATTTCATTTTGATATTATTATAATATTTTGATGTTATTAAGTGCTTAATCAATGTTAAATACAAATTCTAGAAATTAATTTTGCTTTTAATTAGATTTAAAATCGAAAAATAGAAGAAATGATTTTATCATACGATCACAAATTATAAAAGTTCATTGCAAAAATAAAATTTTGTCACTAATTTCATCCCTAAACAATATTCGTCGCTAAAAAATTAATAAAAATTTGTCGCTAAATTCGTCCCGGAACAATGTTCGTGGCAAATTAGCGACGAATTTTGCCACGAATAAATTTGTCGCAAATTACTGACCAAAAAAAAAATCGTGGTAAATTAACGATGAATTTTGCCACGAATATAGTTCGTGGCAAATTAGCAACGAAAATTAAAATTTTTCATCGCTAAATTTTGCGACGCCAAATTGGCGACGAAATTTTTTTCGTCGCAAATTCGTTTAGCGATGAATTTTGCAAAATTTTTCATGGCAAAATTCGTCGCTAAAACTTAATTTTTTTTATAGTGCAAAAGCACTAATTTGAAATGGAAACTCTCACAAATTCCAGTAAGTGGAATTTTTTTAAATATGAAGGATGAAAAAATAAATTAAATACTAAAATATAGATAATCACAAGTCGAAAAATATCATAACTAACTCAAAAGGAATCATTAATAATGAATTAGTAGACAAAAAAAAAATTACCCTATTGATTCGATTCTCGTAGATGAAGGTATGCAAGGACCTAAAATAAATTACAAGATCAATCTTAGGATCACATGAGCCAAAGCTAAACTTAAAATAAAGAAAAAAAAGATTTTCGATCGAATTCCATATTAAGTTTATTTTTGAGTTATTAATGTTGCAATTTAAAACCCTTTGAATTTACCTAAAATCTTTTTTTTAAATCGGTCAAGCGAGTCTCTTATTTTTTACTCATTCAAAAATTACCCTATTGATTCGAATCTCGTAAATGAAAGTATGTAAGGACATAAAAAAAATTATAAGCTCAATCTTATGATCACATGAGCCAAAGCTAAATTTAAAATAAAGAAAAAAGGATTTTCGATCAAATTCCATATTAAGTTTATTTTTGAGTTACTAATGTTGCAATTTAAAACCCTTTGAATTTACCTTAAATCTTTTTTATTTTTTAATCGGTCAAACGAGTCTCTTATTTTTGACTCATTCAAACTCATCTATTCAGTTGAATTGCGAAAATCAAGGGAAATCGTGGTGCAAAAGATCCGGCCAGATAACCGCTCGGAAGGAGAGATTGGAGGGGAGGTCACGAAAACCATATCCACTCCAGTTCTCATCTGTGCGCGGCGTTCTTCTGCCGTTACTCCACCGCAAGCTTCTTCACGCAAGTCATCCTCCAATACACACTCAAATCTCCATCCATCCCCGTGATCATCATCTCCATCAAGTCCAGTTCTCAGAGAGCTCTAAAACACTTCGTTTTGTGGATTTCTTTCATTCGCGAACCGTCACAATCGCTATCGAACGTTGTCTGAAGCCATCGTCTGCTTCACCTTGTTCTTTGATCTTTGGTAGAGAGAATTCGAGGAGGTCTATTCTCGCTAGAAGTTTCTGGCGCTCATCTTCCCCAGGGACGCTCTCCAGAATCTCCTCGTGCTCGCTTGACTAATAATCGCGATCAAAATTCCTCCTGAGCAAGGTAACACTCGAAACGCTCTGATTCGGTTATTTTGCAGACGAAAGGTTAGTTTGAAGTCAGATGTTGATGTTTCGTCTGGAAAGCGATTAGGGTTGGAACTAATTTTCATTGATAGGAATTAAAACCTTTTCAAGAAATACTTTGGACCGAAATGTAGACTTAGTATTGCATATGGAATTGTTTTCCACGATGCTCACCATTTTGTTCGATTAAATGCACGAGGTAGATCTGTGGCAGTGACTATAAGCTCCATTGGAAACCAATGCGGCATATCCTAGATGATTTTGTTAAAAGAATGTTGATTACTGGATATGTTTGCTAAGTCAATTGACTGTCAATCCAGAATTTCTTTCACATACCGGTGGATTTGATTTCCATTACATTTTGTCGTCCTCGATTACGTTACTGATTCCTTGTTTTTGCTGTTGTTGTATTTGCATGGTTCGTGTTAAACGGTGACCGGTTGCGATAAAACGGCCGGAGCTGAGATCGTGCTCTTCCTTGTGAAGGTGTCACTGTTGTCTCGGTAAGTCATCGGTGATTCCTGTTGGAATTCCAGTCCGGCGAATGGTGAGGGCGTAGTTCTTGCTATACAAATAAGAAATCGGCAAAGGAATATATGGTTGATATCTTGACGTTCTGGTATGATGAGCTTTGAGTTTTGATAATCTGGTGTAGTGAGCTATGTTTTTTTTGGATCTGTGCATTCCCAGTTTGTCTTGAAGAAGACGATGAAAGGAATACGCCCAAACAAATAAAAAAAAAATCAAAGAGAAAAGAAAGAAAAAAGAAAAAAAAAATATCATGGGTTTAATCTGATCATAGTAAAAGATGACCTAAGTTGAGTTTTTTTTTAACATGAGCTTGTTACGATTTTAATTGAGTTTGGGTTTGGTTTGGTCTTTAGAAAGTTTGCGCTTAACTTCACTCGAATAGGTTTGGACTGAATTAATATTTTTAGTGAATGATTCTAGATAGATTGAAAGGGCCCGATTTAAGAGTCCAAATTTGCATCTGTGGCCCAGACTCGTAGGATCAGATTAGCCGATATCCGAGCCCAGCCCGAGTCCTTCCAGAAAAAAAAATCCAAAAAATAAAAAAAATCCAAAAAATATTTAGAAAAGTAGACCTTGATTAGGTTGTTATATTTTAGTATTAAAATTAATCTAGTTTTGTTTAGTTATAGTTTAGGAATTAGGGAGTTTTGATTTTCTCTAATTTAAATATAGGAAAATTAGTTTATTTAGAAAATTGAATTTGATTAGAACTGAGCTCATGGGAGTTGTTGTCCCAAGGCTCAATAATGAGGTTATGTAATATTCTTTGCCCGACTTGCATCGGCTTATTGTTATCGCACATTACTTTTTACTCTCCTCTTATTATCGCTTTTGATGTGTTTGTTTTAGCCTTCTATGTAGTATCCTTGATTGAGTTTATATTATTTTTTTTAGCCTAGTTGGATGGTTTGGCCATACACTGGAATCATAATAAACACATAAACATTTGTATGGACATTTAGCGGGGTGAGAACCTTAGGATTCATAATTTTATAAAAAGACTGGACATTTTAGTTGACATATATAAGCAAGTTTGAGTACTGAAAGGGCAATATAATCAAGTCCTCGATCCTAGATCTCGGGTTGTGTAACAAGTGAGGTATACTCCCATACTTCACTTGGTTCTTAGTCGACCCCAATAAACTAGTGGCGACTCCTCATATAGAATTTTAATAGGGTTTGAATCTATATGAATTTCCGATCGTAGTGCGAGTTAAGGGTTTGAGAGAACTCGAACTGATTGTGGACCATCGGTCTGTGTTTGGGATTACCTCTAAACCCATATATCCCCCGACACCTATCGCGACCTCTCAATAAGAAGCTGAAATTGGATATGGTCTCATGAGTGCATGCTCACAGAGCTATAACGGCAAAGAAGAGGAATCGAGGTTACATGCTACAATTAGTTACGAAGCCAATTAGGTGAACCTTGCTAATGGTCTTCAAGTGGGATCGACGATGCTGGAGCTTTAGATAGGACTTAATCTCCTTGCAGTTCTCGGCTACAGGACAGAGCCAAAGAGGTGACGTACACATTGACGGAAAAGCTCAACAAGGAAGAGTTCTTTGCCACGATTTTCGGTTGAAATGACAAGAGGAATCTCATAATGCTTTGACTGAGGAGATTAGCACCGGCGACAAGATTTGAACCGAAGATGGAGCACTTCGAGACTCTCGACCAAGAAAACAGAGCAACAGAGAGTATGCTCGGCAGGTGATGAAATCACCTCCAAGCGATTAATGACATCCGAAAGATGATGAAAAAGAGCAAGAATCTTGTAGAACCTCCCGAATCTCTTTTTTCCCCGAGAACAAATTTCTTGAGTTGCTTTCAATTTTCTCTTAGTTGTGAACTCAAAAATATCATCTCCCCTTCTAACGAGCAAAATTCACCTTTATATACTCTGATCCATACAGTTAGATGAGAGAGAGTTTGTTATCCACGTCTTTTTGTGCATGTGCTCAATCCTCAGCACCCATAATCTTTGCTCAACTTTCTCCTTTTCACACGGGCCTTCGTCTCTAGCATTTCCAGTGGGCCTAGTTTTTATTTTTCCAGGATATAGCTCAGCAGGGATTTAGATATGCCTCATTATTGTAATCTTTTAAATTTTTTTGTTTTACTCTTTCACTATCCTGATGATCTCTAATCGTGTCGTTGTCGTGGCCATATTAAGCCTTTATATTACAGTAGACCTAACTATTCGAGAAGAAGCCCCAAACTTTATCTTATCTATCAATTTTGGCATCATCTTGCAAAATTATTTTAGGAGCTGAATACTTTGCCTTGCTACAATTCAAAACTACTCATTCTACATTAATCCATGCCGTGTCTTTCCATCTATGCTCTCTTTGTATCTCTATCAGCTCTATAACCTTCTTAATCACTGGTCTTGTTTTTTTATTGGCCTTTTGACTTGTTGTTTCTATGTCGAGTACATATACCTAGAGGACTTGATACGGTTTATGCCCAAAGATTAAGCTGTTAAGACAATGAGTCTATTTGAAAGAATATCTGAGAGCCAGAAAATTAGCAAATCA